AATAAGATGAGCAGTTTATCACCAGTGATGTACTGGTGAAAAGATGTTATATCCTGTCTAGAAGCAGAGGTAAGAAGGATGGTAGATAGTGCCAAGGATAATACAGATAATGGAAATGTAGGTGGGCTAATTCCACAAGAGAGTTGCTGAACATTTGGGATTAAAGGAGAATTTCTCTGTAAATCCATCCCTGTCTCCTCATCTTCACATCCAGTGTCACAAGCCCTTCTGATTCACATTGACTTGATGAGCTGGGAGAACCTGCTGAGCCTGTGATAGCTGTGGGCCAGAGGATTAGCAGCTTCTTTCCTTCTTCAATTCTGTTTTTAGGCTGGGATACATCTTTACTAAAGATTAGCAGCCTGGTGGGTTGAGGAAATTAAATTTCACAAGGGCTGCAAACTGGAAGCACATATTCAGAGGTGTGAAAATGAAGTGAGAAGATTTTAATACAGTGACTTCTTAAGGAGTAGATCGTATGGCCTGGAGCCTTGGAACTTTGCTGTAGGTGAGGTTACTTCAGAGTAACGGGTGATATGAATTTGAAGGGGAAATTCCAGAATAATTACTAACCTGGCACTCTTGTCCCAGAATAAGGGGCTCTTTTCTGATTTAATGTAACACAGTTGCAAAATGTATTGGCCAATACATTTATTAGCTGTTTTCTAGCTGTTCATTCAGTCTTCTCCCAGGTAGAGAAGCTGGTGACAGTGCTGGCTGAATTGGCCCACTGTGCCCTTTGGTCCTGGCTGATTGCTGCAGGCATGTTGGCCCTCCTGCTCCTCGGGGCTGTGCCAGTGGCTCTGCCAAATGTCCTCTGTGATTGCTGCTCTGCTCCCCTTGGAGCTGAGCTTGCTCTCATCTCTGCTTTTCCCTCTTGTAAACCTGGCAAGCTGAGGCTGATACGACCAGGGACCACTGTGAGCCAAGCTGGCAAACCCCACGTTCTGCTCCAGCTCCACTCTGTACTGCAGCTGCCAACACACACGTTCAGCTTACATTAATGACACAGTACCTTGGGAAAATGTATTTTCAGGAGCCACGTTGGCTTTTCCCCTTCAGTGCACTGTTGTGGTATGGGGAGTGTGGGAGTGGAGCTCTTTAAGTACTTGAAGCATCCCCTAAAAGAAACAACAGCTGTATATATGGACGCTGCTCATATTTTATGAGCAGCATGAGCTGCCAATACATTTTTCTCCTTCTACGCACTCAGGTCGTCTTGTGACCTCTCCCTGCTTGATTTATTTGGCAGTTTCTCTCCGTGGGAAGGCAGCAGGATGGGTGTGTTGCAGCCCATGAATGTTCTGCTCTGCACCAGCTTATTTGCATGCACTTTTATCTGATGAATATACCCAATGTGTTCCTAAATGTCTGGAGTCATTTCTGGGTGATGTAGCGCTACCTTGTGCTCTGAACATTCCTCTGTGTCATCTTCAGATAAAAATTTAGATCTCTCAGGATTATTTGTCTCCCAAAGGAAGTAAAATTAATATGAGATTTGGCTTGGCTTAAGCAGGTGTATCAGGAGTGTTTGCCATCTGATATGTTTGCATGTAGGTGAGTGCAAAGGCAGTTTTCTTTAACTGCATGCAGACAGCTCAGTATGATGAATGAGGTGCTTATTCTGTAAGGTGCTTATTATATTATGCTCCTCTTTGCCTTTGTCTTTAGGGAGAACTCTTTAACCACTTCAGGGATTGATTGCATTTGATTAGAGAGCAGTTTGTCTTCTGAATCCATTATCTTGGCTTAAAGTCCACAAGTTTATTCTGTTTTGTGATGCAGCTGGAATTGCACTATGTGTGTATTATACGAATGAGGACCAAATGCAAAGTTATTTCATAAGAGCTCATTTGAATTGATGAGTGGCCTTTTCTTACCGAATTATAATGCTGGGTTGCAGGTAGGGATGGAAAAGAGCCTGTGGGCTCATCCTGCCTGCAGCAAAACAATGTCCTTTTCCTTCTCTCTTTCCTCCCCTGAAACTTGAAAATTCTGCCTCATACTTTCACATACACAAAAAAATAAATCATAGTGTATTTGACCTTTCCTGTTATGGTGGCCACAAATGCTTCCCCTGCCTTGTGGCCCAGCTGAGATGAGGAGATGGAGGAGTGGTGCAGAGCACACTCCCACTATTCTCACCCAGCTGAGGGTGAGCAGCCTTGGGAGGAGGGATAGGCTGTTACCTGGCAGAAGCACCTACAATCCTCATTTTTCATTGTTCTTTGAAATCACAGCACCCTTTCTTTCTCCTAAACACAACCAACGTGATTGTTCCCTGGCTGGTGTAGTGTCTCTGCTCTGAAATGATGGCCAGATTTATGGGGAAGTGAATGTACAGGCAGATGTGGTGAGGATAGGGAGGAAGACCAGGTGGATGAGCACCATGAAACTGCAGCATTCATCTCCTCTGAACTGTTTCTATGAGCTGTGATTTAATTTCCTAAACTTCTGCTAAGGTGTTCACTTCTCTGCA